CACAAAGAGACTGCGTGGTCAAGAAATGCTCCTCAAAATCCCTGATCTCACCTTAAGAGTGGTTGGTTTGTGTTGTTTTGTTTGACGTTTCCAGGCTCAGTTGAAGAGGACTAGAGCCAGGAAGCCTCACGTTCAAAGCCAGTGGCTCAGCCATTGTCTCGACTTCAGGGGATGTTTATCTTCTTCCCTCTGAACTTTCCTTTTGCTTACCCTACTCTTAAACTCAAGCATCCTTGTACGGCAGAACTACATGCACTAGTATAAATCAAAGGATTATTCATAAACACTGTGATTTACAAATATTAGAATACTATAAATAAAGAAGAAAATGTTAGGAGATAGAAATATTTTCACGGTGTGGCATTTTCAGTACATCTCTGCCTGCACCAAGTTAAAACAGAGCCAGCTGCCTTAAAACCACGCTCTTTTATTGTGCTCTTCTCCAGTTAGCATCACACGGACTCTTAGCTGTGCAAAGCACAGCTCCTTAAAAGGATGCTTTGATGACTAAAGTCACAGAGCTCCCCTTTTGTCACTTCTGAAGAAAAACGTTGATTCATGCTCAGAAAGGGACTGAGTCCCACAGGACACGGGCTGCTGGGAAGCTGCGCTACATCACCTGCACTGATCTTTGGGCTCTCACCTTATTCCTGATCAGTTGTCCCAGCATCAGGAAGACTCTTTCCTCCTTCCTCCCAAGTTTGCCTGAGGAAGAGGAAGACCAAGATTGCATTACTGCCAAGGAAACCCCACCAGGCCCCGCTGCCCCCTCCTCCCTTTGCCCTGGCGCTCGCCTGTCCCCCACGGTGAGTTCATTCAGGTCATTGAACAAGCACAAAGCTAATTTAAGAAGAGAAACTAAAAATGATTTTGTGCTTCCTGATACTTTGGCGTTCCCCACAAAGACAAAGCTGAAAGCAGCCAGGAAACCACCGAGTCCTTTGCAAAGAAAGCAAGCCGACGGACAAGGGCTCCGCCAGACAAGTTCCCTGCTCCTGTTCGTGACGTGGATGTATCCTGCCGGGCTGCCCGAGAGCTTACTCCTGCCCTGGCAAATCTCAAGGGAGATGCTGAGCCGCTGCATCCTGGAGCCCTGGACAAAGTCACCTTCACCAATCTTCTGAATTAATGTGCCAAAAAAGAGGTGGGGGGCCAAGGTGTGTAGCCCCACGCTGTGCTGGGGAGAAGAGTACGATGTTCCCCCAGTAGAGACGCCCATGACGAGCAGGGGCATCGCGACAGTTAGTCCTCTGGCTCCTGCGTGTGCGTTTGCGGATGAAGCTGGGCAAAACAGCAACACCAGTTTAAGGTGCCTTATCCAGATGGGGAATTGGTTCCTGTGCCAGGGTCCCGCAAGCAGGGGACACTCAGAGCCTCTGGCTGGCTGGGGGAGCAAGGAAGAAACATTTATTCTGAAATACTGGAGATACGTGGGAGGACGAGGGGAAGGACGGTGGCTTACGATCTGATCCAACAAATCACCCAAGCAATGCCCACAGCAGAGAGACCCCTTCTGCACACAAACAGCTAATACCTCAAACATCAACGTCTGCCGCTGGGATAGATCGTGCTGGTTGCGTTCACTTCACAACAAGGGAAGGTTCCAGCATCGTTGTGAAAGCAGAGGAAGACGGAGGCGGGCAGTCGCGCAGGCTGAGGTACTGCAAAAGCCATCAGGGACGTGACGCCTGGGAGATTCTGCTGTCTCCATTTCACTCTTTTGCTGGAAAACTACACCCTCACAACACCGCTTTGCTCCTCATGGAGACAGTCAGCTCAGGACTGTCTTAGGCAAAGAGACAAGGCGGAAACGGTGAAGAAGCCATCAAAGCGGCTAAAGTAGAAAACCAGGACACGTACGGCGAGGAGCCCAGATCCCAACCAAACTGCCAACCCTCTGCAGGTGTCCACGATGCGCCAGCATTGACGGTCAAGCACCAGAACAAATAACAAGATTACCGAAAACACAGGAGTACAAACAGCTGCTACCATTACTACTGAAAACACCCGCTGTTACTGCTTCCCTTGTCGGCTCCACTACAGGCGAAGAAGGAACTGAACCAAAAAATTTCTCTTTGATGTCGGAACCAGAAAGTCCCTATTGAAAGCGCTTACGTTGGGGAACCGTGGTCCGACCTCCACCTCTTCCAAAAGGTCAGCCAAGCACCTCCCAGTCTGCTCCCGCAGCGGTGCTGGTGAGGCGACAGACGCTTGGCTGGCGAACAGAGCATGGTGGAGGTTACGCACACGGGCAGGATACAGATAAGGATAAGACCCAACAAGGACGGATGCACCTCTAACCCAAGCATGGAAGTAGCAAAGAGGAGGGGAAGGTGGGGCCAAGGATGGACCACAGGGAACCCGCAGGTGGGAGACAGCGCATTGCAGTTTGCTCCCAATGAGCAGAATCTGTTGTGTTCAGCCACTGACAAGTTAGTGCACGGACTTCGCTGCTTTCTCAGCAAGCAACGGACATCAGCATCTCCCTGAGTCATTCCAGTTTTGTGCGATCTCTCTCTCAGCTCCTCCAATGACTGCAGAAGTCGGGACAACTGGTTTGGACAGGAGTCCTGACGCTGCATCCCCATAAGCCACGCTTAGGCTGCCAAGCCCAGGCAAAGGGCCTCTCCAAACGAGCGTGTGCCTCCTCCAGCCTTCCCCCCGGCCGGTTTCTCCCCCTTGGCAGAGGCTGTGGCAGCTGAGCTTTCTCTGCGCACGGAGGTGGCTGCCAGCATCGCTTTCATCTCAAAGCCGGGAGGCGGGAAGCACTCGGCCATTAGAGCAGGCGGGAAAGCAGTGCTCACCTGGCTGCTGCAGAGCCAGTTTGGAAGAACTCTGCGCTTCCGCTCTCCTACAAGAGTTCCTGCATCAAAGTTTCCCTTCCTCCTCCTCCTCCTACTCCATCACCAGCCCTGCAGGTGCCAGGCAGAGCCTCTCTTCCCATCCCTGCATCTCTAAATTAGCCTGGTTGCTGAGCACGTCTATTCTAGGCAGCCAAAGGCAGGCGAGATGAGAGAAGCGAAGCGCACGCATCAGTTGCGTCGTGAACAACATCGGTGCCAAGTTCTTCTCCGTTATAGCCAGTTCAGACAGAGAGAGAATGTGTCTGATGTGGTACTCCCAGCCAAGTAACACAGTTTGTGAAAGAAATCGGAAAAGAGTTCTTTCCGTACCAAACATCCAGGCAATTCTCGATTATCTGGGGACACAGGGAGAAGCAGAAATAGCCATTATGACAGAAGAAATTACTCAATACAAAACGTGGGTCAACAACGTGATTAAATCCTAACAGCAAGGTCAAGCCAGAAGAGAAATACCATTTTGGGACACCAAGAACCCCAAGCTGACCTAAGCAGAGAATTGACATGTTACAGCAAAGCACACTAGTCGCTCCGGTCCCAAAGCAAGTCCTGCCAGCCCTGAGCAGGTCTGTGAGAGCCTGCAAATGCTTTCCAGCTTTGGGCAGTGGCATCTGTGATACAGCTAATCCTCAGTTAGCCCGGGAGGATTGAGAGCTGACAGCAGGGCTTGTCTCCACAGTGGGGAAGGGAGGGAGGACGCTGTGCATATGCTATCCGCTCCCCCAGCAAAGCAAGGAGTGAAGGCACCAGGGACAGGAACAAATAAATCAGTTTTCACACACACAAAACCTCAGCCATCATCTGGTCTGGGTTTCCAAAGCAGGTAATGAGGGCAGTAACCCGGAAGGGTGTATCAAGTCAGGAAAGCCGGTTATGTCCATCACATCTTATCTCGTACATATTGAAAAATAAAAACAGCCCCTTCCTCCTGACAGACTTAATCCTCTAGATAGGATTAAAGTCTATCGGTCAATGGGCGACCCTGGAGAGAACAATCCAGCATTTGCTGGGTGATAGCCGAGATCGTATCAGCAAGCGATCCTAGCCCTTGGAGGGGAATTGGAGGGGAGCACAGGCAGCCCGAAGGTGGGAAAGCGTTTTCTGCTTTTAGCTTCCCTACTAATGCAGGGTGGCATTTCAGGCAAACCAGCTCCCATTTTCATGCCTTGTTAATCTCAATGATACAATCAGAGTGAAGCCAAGCCCAGCTCCAGTTCTGGCTTCTCTCGGCTCCCACTGACTATAATTACAGGCAAATGCCTTTGATTGCCTTTGCAGCTCAGGTCTTCGGCACCTCAGACGCAGCACCCAGGATTAGAAGACGCTTTGGAAAACACTGCCTGCCACCAGACTAACCTGTTGTCAGAGACAAGGCACTTCTCCCGAGTCATTTGGCAGCACCTCACACTGTCTGGCAACTGCCTCAACCCTTGTGCTGTCACCCTGTGGTGGCCGTGAACTCCTGCGCCCGTACCCTTGTTCTTGTCAGCTTGCAGGACCAGCCTCACCACACGCAACTGAGAACAAATAGGTTTCTGCTAAGGAGGAGACACGATGCTTCTCTGCAGCATCTTTTTGGAGAATATCCGCAGCACAAATAGTTCTTTTGTGTTGGCCTAACTCAGGGCAGGATGGCTACGCGGGTCAGCTACACCCCAAACGCTGCTCTGCTAACAGGTACAGCTTTGCTCTGTAAGAGGAGTGCCCTCTGCTGAAATAACAGCCCTACAACAGGCAAAGCATTTTCTCCAGTTCCCTTCACGCAATGAGCACATTGCCTCGCAGATCTGGAACACAACCCAGGACAGATCACAACCCAAACAACAGGCAAGTGAACACAGGTCCATTTAATACAGTTAAACACAGAGGGACCACAACAGCAAAACAAGCCAGACTGAGGCATGTCAGGTGGGCAGGAACGAAAACAACAGGCAGGAGAACGTGCTGACAGATCTAAGACTGCAGAACCACAGGTGCCACATCTCTCCAGCACACAGAGCCACCTCTTTCTCCGTGCTGGACAAAGTCCTGAGGTCTCATCTCCGGTGGCCAGAAGGCAGAGGCTGGTGAGAAGAATCTGGAGCTGGAGGAGCTGCCCTCAGCATGGTCAGGGCTCTCAAACAGGAGCACGCTGCCAACCAGCAAGGAAAGGAGCAGCCACCCAAACTGCTCTACGCTGGAGAGAGGAACCCCAGTGCAGAAAAAAGTTTCAGGGCCGAGTCCCGGACCGAGGAATGTCACAGCTGCCTCAGTGCAACTCACCAGTCCAGCCTCTCCTGTCCAAAAAGCTAGGGAGCCCCACCAGCAAAGATGAGCTCCAGGGCAGCCTGAATGTCCCCTCCAGTGGCTTGCAGGGCCCGCAGACTTAGCTCATCATCGTGTATGCCCATGTCACGCAGCTGCTGAAGCTGTGGTTGCCACTGGCTCTAGAGAGGAAACAAAAGAAGCTAAGGGTAGGTGCGAGAGTCCAAGCAGAAACAAACCAGCCGTCCCCACAGCTCAGTCTTCTGTGCTGGATTCTCCCGCCTCTCTCTAGCTTGCAAGTACAATGCTAAGTGCGCAATCAGATCTCGAAAGCTCAAAGTCTTGCTGCAAGTTCCCCAGATCCACCAGCCCACCCCTCCCGCTTCCACCCAGTACTTTTGCATCGACCCACCGTGCCTCCCGCAAGCATCACTTCTCCAGTGATGCCCCTTTCAGTTTAATGTCCTGCCATAGGAGGCAGTTGGAAGAACCATCTCCCCCCTGCAACACTCGATGCGATACGGGGCTTTCACGGGCTCCCGAAGGAAAAAGCCACAACACTGACCTGCAGGCTGGGCTGCCCTGAGGCCTGCAGGGCATGCTGTAAGGCCTGGCTGAAGAGGTCGTTGGTGATGGGTGTTCCTGACTGGACACTGGACGACATCGGGGAGGTGCCAGAGGAGTGACCCTAGGAGGAATTAAGTTGTATATGGATGAGGAGAGCATTTGTCACAGGAACCGTAGCCAGCACAGGGCAACGTCTGCTGCACCCCCACTATCATGCCTCCCCGAGCCCATATGCAAGAGACCCCAACCATAAGAAAATAAACCAGGGAGGACTTCCAGACCTGAACAGGGCTTGTGCCTGGTCAAGCACTGGTTTTATGGCCCAGGAGGATTCCTCCTAGCTGCTGTGCTGCCATCGTACCTGGGTGCCAGGGGTGGGTGTGTGGGAGCTGCTCTCTGGGGTGCTCGCCAGTGCCAGCGCGGTCGCCAGCTCGCTCTGGGTGATGGGTCGGGGTCCAGCAGCCCCAGCGTAGCCAAGGGAAGCTGGGCGGGAACCAGAAGTGCTGCTGGATGGTGTAGATCTTGTGCTCTGTATAGAGGAAACAAAAAACCCACCTGTGATGTTGGTGTGACCTGGCTCATGTGCTCATTCCCAGGGATCCCTTTCCTACAGTACTTGAAACTCAGAAGCGCAGAACTTTTAAAAAACAAACAAGACAGAATGGGATCTGCTTTTTTTTTCCACAAACTCAGCTATTACAGAGCTGTGGAAACTGGCAGCAAACCTTTTAATATACCATCTATCAGCTTAAAACCAAAATGCTATTAGCCTATAATAAAACAATTAACCATTGACAGGCACTTCTTTTGCCTAACTTTGAACTTTTAAAAAAATAAACATGACAGAATGGGATCTGTTTGGTTTGGGGGTTTTTTGTTGGTTTTTGTTTTAGTTTGGTTTTTTGGGTGGTTGTTTTTTTTTTTCCACAAACTCAGCTATTATAAAGCTGCAGAAATTAGCAGTAAACCTTTTAATATACCATCTATCAGCTTAAAAACAAAATATTAGCCTATAATAAAACAATTAACCACTGACAGGCACTCTTTTGCCTAAACATGTAATTTCTCTTTATAAAATACTTTGCCCTTTGCAAAGGAAAACCTTCCCACATTAGAGAAGACAGGCAGAGACCAACACTCCCATCCTGCTCAGCCATGCTCATCTGCACGCAACTCTGGCTCTGTGTCAATTTGACTATGACGGTGTTTGCTCCGAGGACAAGTGCTGTTGCCAGTCGTGCTTCTGCGTTCTTCTGTTGTGACCCTACCTCAGCACTCAAGAAAATCGGAACATGAACAGCATCCAAGCACACCACAATCAATACGTTTGTCTCTATAATACCCCTCGGAGCCAAAGCAGCTCACGTTGTTCATGAGACAGGAGGAAAGAAAACCTTTAAGGGCTACAAGTTAAACCCATACTGCAAGTCCAAAACAGCTGTTCCACCTAACCTGGCTGCTTACCTGGTGGAAGTCATCTTCATCATCAGATAGACCTTCAAACAGAAAGCCACCTGCAATAGAAAGGCAAACCAACAGATGCAGATAACCAGGAGCTGGCAGGAGTTCGGCACCAGAGGAGAATCCTGCGGAGCCCTGGGCCACGCAGCCAGGCTCAGCCCCACCGAGGTCTCAGCATCAACAAGTCCACGTGCAGCAGGTCAGGAAGACAGGTCAGGCCCATCATTTGCACAAAACAGAGGCAACAGCATTCCGCTACCGACAGTCACACTTGGTTGGGAGAGGCCCTGAGGCTGAAGTGACCAGATGAGCCTCACACAGCACAAAATGTTACCAAGCCACAGCACATGTTTCTATCTCAGGAACCCAAACTTCTTTTCCTTCCAGCCTGACGAAGGCTGTGTCAGTAGAGCACAGATTTGTCCGCAAATCCTACAGCCCATCATCGCTGCAGGTTCCCCACTCATCTGTGTGGCTGAACGTACCTGGCATGTCCCGGTAGGAGCCAGAGGACATGCCTCGGGAGGAGGTCTCTGGGGCTGGGAGCGGGGTGCTGCCAGCCACCGAGTGCAGAACAAGGACAATGGCATTCACAAGCGCGGGGTGGGCTGGGATTAGCCTGGAGAGAAAAAGAGTGGAAGAAGGAATCATGTACACAGGGCAGCTAAGA